TCTTGAACTCCTGGGCCTAAGCGACACTCTTGCCTTGGCCTCCAGGTAGCTGGAACTACAGGTATGTAGCACCTTGCCCAGTTAAATTTTAAAAAATTTTTTTGTAGAGACAGGGTCTTGCTATGTTGCCCAGGCTAAAAAGTTTTTTAGTAGCCTACTCGTTTTCCCCATTTCAGGGTAGGATACCACCTTTAGCACCATCTGCAATTGTGCCATTGTATAAAGTGGAATGTTCTGTGGAGTGTCTCTAACTAAGCCCCTTTAGCTTGAGGATAACTCTATTGCTAGCCAAAGTTCCCATTCTCCAGAGATTCTAGCTAAAGTTTAATCTATAAATGACATCCTCTCTTCCTGTCCTGCTGTCTCCCTGTTATTCTCCAGATGGACCAATGTCCTCTTGCCTTTCTTACTGTGCTCCAGATGAGACACTTCAGAGACAAAGGACCCAGACTGGAAAAAAATGTTCGGCTGAACTCCAAGTGTATTTTCGGGGCATAAATTTGTTCCCCACCCCCTCCTACCCTTTTCTTGCACTGCACAAGTGACTTCCCAATTTCCCTCAGTAGCAGCAGCCAGCTTCCACAGGTGCATAGAACTTTCTATGCACATGAAGAACATTCTCAATCATCCTTTTGGAAGACCATTCAGGTGGGAGAGACTAGAAAAAAAGAGATCTCTGTTCAGTGAGTTGCGTAGATCCCAAAACTTTTTGGCATCAGGGACTGGTTTTGTGAAAGAATTTCTCCACAGACTGGGGGGTGGGGTGGGGGGTGGTTTGGGGATGACTCAAGTACATTACATTTATTGTGCTTTTATTTCTATTATTGTTACACTGTGACATATAATGAAACATGCAGCATCATTCTCTCAGCTCCACCTCAGGTTACCAGGCATTAGTTTCTCATAAGGAGTGCACAACCTGGATGCCTTGCATGCGCAGTTCACAACAGGATTCACGCTCCTATGAGAATCTAATGCCACCTCTGAACTGACAGAAGGCAGAGCTCAGGCGGTAATGCGAACAATGGGAAGCGGCTGTAAATATAGATGAAGCTTCACTTGCTTAACCACTGCTCACCTCCTGCTGTGTGGCCCGATTCCTAACAGACACTGGTACTGGGAGTTGGGGACCCCTAAATTAAGCGGGATCCTCAATGCACAAAGGAAAATATTTCAGAATCACTGTAGTGAAGGGTCCCATCTATCTAAAGACTGAAGAACTTGGGCAATCGTGGGTCCCAATCAAGGTTCCTCTACACCATAAAGAACCCATTGAAAGTTATTAATATGTCACCAGCATTGTGATGGAAGCCAGCAAAGCTGCACATCCCATATGCATTTATCCTGAGGAGCTCTTTCATGTGTTTTGTGGCCTGCCACCATGTTTCCACAAGTTTCTTCCAGGAGCTTTCCCCAGATCCACCACCTGGGAACACACTTGCTCTACTTGGCAGGGGTTAGAAAAATACAAAAGTGAGTAGGCTTTATGCCACGTAACACCGGAAGATGGGATATTCAAGACCTGAATTTGGGATCTGGACCCTCCAGGAGTGTGGGTCAACAGTGAAGGCCACAGGCACGCTTGGATTCTTCCCAGGGAATTATCCACAAAAACCTTGAACCCAGAGGAAGTAGGGATGGCCCCCAGCCCTCTGCTTTATCCTAGTGCAGAATCAGCAGGATTAGAGGGAAATGATACCATTACTTTCTCCGTGACTCACCTGCACAGTGAAACCTTAGACTCAGAGTGTGCTTGCCTCTTGGCCTCTGAATCTACCACCTCCTTCATAGAACAGGAACAGCCATGTCCATTAACTAATTACATTAGATAATACCCACCAATTAACTAAAGTGGCATAAATGAAAACACATGGCAGAGTCTGGCCCAGAGCAAATGTCAGTCAGTGTTTGCCACATGTTAGTTTGCATGGTGCAGACGTAAATGTTCAGTCACCCCATCCGGTAACCTTCAAATCATTCAGGGCTAATCTGTGAACACAAACTCCCTGTGAACCAACCTTCTGACGAGAGAAAATTCATTTGCCTTAACTTCTTCAAACAGCCAGTCTGGAGAAAAATAAAGGAAGCCCACTGAAGCCTCGCTCCCCGTGTATAAGTACCTGTCAGAACAGCTGGGCTGCTGTGGCTGCTGCGCTCAGTCCCTCTTCCCCCATCTAACAGGGCAGGCCTGAGAAATGGCACCCGAGTTCCTTTCTCCTGGAGAAAACATCAAGTTCTGTCTTCAGTTATTGGTGTCAACAGGGGCCCAAGAGTCGCCGAGTGAGATGAAAAAAGCACAACCACCAAGTTCTCTAATATCAAAATAGAGCGATTTATTCAAGACACTGAATATGATCTGTTGATCTCTCTTGAAACAAATGAGCTACAACACACAAAGTGATTCTTTTTTTCCAAAGAGCGTGAGGTGAGTATAGGTGAAGAGGGTCGATGCTGTCTAAACAGAATCTGGAAAATGCGGACAGAGAACCACATCTGGCTGCACGTCTGACACAGACAATAAAAACTGCAGAAGCCAGAATTCATAACTTCAGTGAGTGGCGAAGGAATATTTCTGCATTTGACAAGAAACACAATTTTTTTCTTTAAAAATGGTGAACAGAAGGTTAAAAAAGAGAAAAGTAACAAGGAACAAAGCAGACCCTTACAATTGACAAAGTGCACTTCACTTGGCTCCATGATCTAGTTTTTAGAAAGACAAAAGTCAAGTCCTATGATGTCATGAGGGGTCAGAGGGTTTCACCCTGTAATGTCCGGCCCTTTTGGTCCCCTGTGGGGCAGTATCCCTTTCCCAGGTATGTTCTGGACATGACCCTTGGTCACTTCGAACCCAACCAAAGATTCCAGGAAGGACTGTCATGTTACATCTACTTTCAAGGTCAAGATTGGTCACTAAGACTCAAGCATTCCTTACCATGTTTTAACAGCTATAAACACCACTGAACAATAACATTTCACACAGGCCACCCCTCAATTACAAAGATGAAATCTACAAAGTTTCCAGCAGAAGAAAGGACAATCACGATGTACAAAAGCCGGAGGTCCCAGAAGTGACTGGAGACCCCTTGTTTTGCGGAGAATGGGGATGGGCTGGAGGGGTGCGGGCTGCCTTCTCACACTTGGTCCCCTTGTGGCCCGCAGGAAGTTCCTCTCGGGGTAGGCTGGGAAGCCAGGGGTGCAGACAGTCTCCCTCCGTCTTCCTAAAGGTTCTCTTGTACACAGGAATGGAGACTGTGAAGGCCTCACAGCCCTGGGCTCCGACCTCACAATTCTGACATGGTTCACGTTCCTTAAGAGGCTGCAGCTGACACTTGGGTGAGAGGTGAGACCCTGGCTCCCGATATCACATGAAGATTGTCTAGTGAGTCCCTTATGATACATGAGACCATCACCAACCTACAGTCGTTTCTGGTTGGTCAAACACAAGCTGTGTCCCGACAAGGGGCTGACCTTTGACAGCTGATGATCTGTAGAGATTATGCATTTTCCTTTTGGGGGGAGTAAAATGATGTTCATCTGGACCCCAAAAACTGTACCCTAAACTCAATGAATCCGTGGGGCAGAAACTATCACCTTATCCAGGGACGGCTGCTCTCTTTGAAGATGGGCATGGGGAATCCATAGAACTTTGGCCTTCTTTGCTAAGTGTTACGGAAACAGCTCGAGTAAAACCCACATCTTGGAAAAAGAGTGCTTCTGGTGTTTTGGGGTTTGAATAATTCACATACCCAAGCAGAGGCCAATTAATTGTCTGAGAATGATCAATGTACCCTAGCTTTTGCAGCAGTCCAGCAGAAAGCCGTGGCCTTACCTTGATGGCTGATTTTCAGCTCTGCAGATGGATGCCACCCTCTGAATAACAACCTGTCTCATTGCTGGAACACACACCAGGTTGAACCCTGCTCACTGTTCACTGCTGGGCAACTTCGCAGCACCTGTGGGCCTGGCCAACTTCCCCAGCCTTTCCTATGGCCACAGAAAAACCAATGGAAAAAAAGGTCCTATCTTTCGGACTCTTCCCCAATGCTAATTTAAAAATCAAGCCAGTGTCAGATTATGACAAGAAAACAAAGGTCACCTGATCCAATGAAAGGAAGCCCCTCTAGGAACATAAAGCCTTGTTTAATGTTTTTTAAACGGTAAAAAGATTCATTATTTTAAAAAACTCAACAATCTTTCTCCTAGTCGCTTGTGAGAGAAAAAAATTAGAAAGGCAGCAATCATTAGTGACACACTACCTCTATAATTCACCTTCAGGAATGAAAACCTTCCTTCTGTGTTTGTTTTTGCCATTGTTAAACCAAGTGACATGCTGGAGCCTCTACATCAGCTCTGCAAGGACTTGCCAAGCCTGCTCTAGGTGAAATGACCGTCGGTGGTTGTACTGCTGTGAAGAGGATGTAGCCATCAGGCAAAACCGAGCTGAGCCGTCAGTTCTGACGTTCAGTCCTCTTGGTTCTGGAACTGCCTCCTCGGGATCAGAGAGCACACTGCTCTGCACTGCTTTCCTGCCAGCTACCAAGGTAGACTCACACTGAAAGATACAATGATCTTCTTCCAATCTACAGGGTTGGGATCTTGCTCACTGGTTACAAAGCCATCTCGCTGCTAACCCATAAGACTGACCCTTTCCCACCCAGAGTTTTTCTGACCACCTTTAGGAAGCTGAGGGGAAGGGAAAAGCTCCCTCAGACCCTGCCTGTGTCTTCTTAAATTCTTTTTAAAATATGAATCACACAAAGCTCTCTATGTCTGATGGCCATTTTAGGATTTTAAAATTGTTTTAACATAAAAATATTTTTTTCCAAAAATACTCCAGGCTCTTTCTCTTATAAGTCATTTTTTTCTCCTGTAAAAAGTCCCCCTGCCCTGCCTTCTTACATAAAGCACTTATTATGTGCTGAAAGTGCCCTTTGAGAACTAAGATCTGAAGCAACTATGAGAAGGTGGGGGGGGGAGGGGGAGGGGGAGAGGGAGAGGGGGAGAGAGAGAGAGAGAACACGCGCACACACGCGATAGGTAGGAGTGGGAGGGTAGGACAGGAGAGAGTGGGGAGAAGAAAGTTGTCCATCAGAGATTTTGTCTTCGTGTCCATGTGGCTGTATCTTTGGAGGGTGCACTGATAAAACCAGACCTCACCAGACAAAGGAGAAAGGCAGACAGGGCAGGGAATGACACAGGGAAGAAGTAACAAACCAAAAACAGTTTCTATCTCAGACTGAAGGCCCCCAGAAGACAGAATTTCAGCTGATAGAAAAACCACCAAACGAACAAAGAAGATTCTAGAAAATAGAAAGTGTTGGGATTACAAAGTCGCGCATCTCATCAGTACAAACTGGTTTTTGAACATCCTTTGCAAGAGCAACTGTAGTGTCCAAATTGTTAGGGGAAAACAAAAAAACCACCCTGAGGAGGAGAGTGGTTTTTTTCTTTCCCCATTTGGTTTATCACAGCATTTTGCTTTTTTTTTTTTTTTGGCACAGCTTTTTAAGTTTCTTTCCGTTCAGCCATCAGAGAGCCTGTTCTGGATGAAAACTAATCGGCGCTGTCTAGCCGGTGGCTTTGTGCTTCCTAGGCTGAATGTTCTCGGTGGGAACCGTTCTTTCTCCCTTTAATATGACTGTGTTTGCTTCTGTTATTTGCTTTGTTTTAAACTTCTTGATGAAGATTACGAAGAAATATAAACTCCTGTGGCCAGGGACGAGTTGGTTTCAAAGTACACCCTAACGCAAGTCAAGTTCTTACAGTCTTGGAGCTGACAGAATTGTGTCTAAACAGTGCTGCAATCCCACACACTCGCTGCTGGTCCGTTAGAATTCTTTTCTTTTTTCTACAATATTTTGTGGTTACTTCCGCAGATCTAAAACACACACCTGGAAGGAAAGATAAAGCACTTGTTATCTGAGAGACAACACAAATATGCCTTTGGATCAGAAGTCAGCAAACGATGGCCCTTGCGCCAAATCTAGCCCACCACTAATTTTTGTCACTAAAGGACAGGAATGCCATCACGAAGGGTCAGAGCAGCTCAAATAAGAGTAGAGTGTCTGAGCATCTGACCAACCAAACAATAGCAAATAGCATGGAGGGGAGAGGCCAGGTCAAGGACAACGCTAGGAACTGATAGAGTGGCAGCAACTATCGGCAGGAGGCACAGACCAGACACACCTGCAATGGTGGGGCAGATGACAAGGCAAGCTAAACACACGGCCTCTGAGAACATCTGGGGGCCACACCGACACTCAGCCAACCAGCCATATAACTCCCCTTGCCTTAGAGATCAGGGAAATCTCAAATCCAGGGGCGAAACAAAAATCTAGGTGCCCTACAGAAGCAGAATAGGGCTCACGGGGACCCAGACCTACAGAATAATGCCAGAGAAGCTCAGGCTGGGCGCTCAAACATGGAGATTGAGAGGAGCAGCCTTCTCAGCCTTGGAGCCAGATACTTCTTTGCTGTGGGGCTGTCCTGCACACTGTGGAAGGATTAGCAGTGTCCCCGGGCTCGACCCACAAGATGCCATTTGCATCCCTACCAAAGTAGCCACACACATCAACAATGTTTCCCTCAACACACTGCACAGATAACTGTGGTCCCATAGGATTATAGTACCCTATTTTTACCATTCCTTTTATTTTCTTTTGAGTCAGGATCTCACTCTGTCGCCCAGGCTGGAGTGTAGTGGCACAATCACAGCTTACCAGTCTCGACCTCCTTGGCTCAGGTGATCCTCCTGCCTCAGCCTTCTGAGTAGCTGGGACTATCGCACCATCACGCCTGGCTAATTTTTTAATTTTTCTGTAGAGATGGCATCTCACTATGTTGCCCAAGCTGGTCTCAAACTACTGGGCTAAAGTGATACTCTTGCCTTGGCCTCCCAAAGTGTTAGGATTACAGGCGTGAGCCACTGCATCTAGCCCTTTATTGCCCTTTTTCTATGTTCAGATTCATGTTTTTTCTGTTTTCACTGTGTCACAACTGCCTAGTACTCAGTTCAGGAACATGCTGTACAGATTTGTATTTTAGGAGCAACAGGCTCTACTACCTGGCCTACGTGTGCAGTAGTGTCTAGGTTTGTGTAAGTACCACTCTAAGATGTTTGTACAACGAAACTGCCTAATAGTCCCCATTGTGAAGCGACACATGACTGTAGTGATAACTCCAAATACCTCCAGAGATGGCCTAATGTCCTCAGAGGGGCGAAACCACCTTGGCTGAGAACCAGCCATTTAACTGAGAAAATGTTGACTAGAACAACATTCTGGAAGGGACAAGGAGACGACCAGTCCCAGATGGAACCCAGCCCAGAAGTCTCCTTCCTGTGTACACACAGGCACTGGGCTAGGTTCTCAGCATACGGACTCCACACTCACCCTGGGGACCCATCATGCATCAGCTGCTGACTTTCCCTCTCCCACCGCACCCTGCCCCGCTCCCCTGAAAACCAGAGGTGCTGCTTACAGAGCCGTCAGATGCACTGGCGCCCACTTTGTCTCCTCGGGCATTCCAGCACACCTCGAAGATGCCGCCGGTGCCTCGGTAGCTGTGCACAAGACTTCCACTCTGCAAAGCAAGGCAGCCATCACTGACAGCTCAAGGGATACCTGGAACCCAAGCAAGTGTAGAAGGCACACCCTCATGAAGTCCTCACGCATCATTCTCAGATGGTCAGAGGAGGGAGGAAGCTGAAGAGACCAGAAGGGCTGTCACAAAACCTCAGCTTTGCTGGACTCTTTAAAGGGTAGCATTCTGTGAACTGGGTGAACTGGGAGACAGTCAAGTCAGCAGTGTTCTTCATTATTTTATATTTATAAAATGATTCAAGTGGGCTTTAAATCTTTTGAAGGACTTTTCAGATTATAAAAAAGGGTTGAAGAGATCCAGTGAGTTCTTGATGGGAGGCCGTACCTCACTGATCATGTCATTTTTTTGATGATGTCATTTTGCAGATCCATCTATTTCTAGTAAGCATTTCACAATAGAGACTTTCGCATATTAGTCTTGAGAAGCATATTTTCTGGAAGGGTTATCCAGGGCTGTGAGGCGGGGTTGGCACCAGGTCGGGTCCATGTAGGGTCCCACCATTTCCTTCCCTTCCTTGAGAGGATGTGGGTCACGTGAGGCATGTCCCTGGACCCTGCCAGTGAACAGGGCTCATCTACCACCTCCCTCTGCCATGAGGGGACGTGAGCTTGATAATGCAAACCCTCCTGAATGTCAACCAAGTCAAAAGGAATTGAAGTGGGTAAGACTGAAGGGGGAAGGGAGAGGCCATTTGATCCATCGTGAGGTCAAGCAACCTGCATCCTTGCTTATTTCCAATGGCACTGACCATCTCTCCGTTTCTCTCTTCCATGAGAATAAGTATCAAGAGCTGGTGGCCCAGTACAGTCCTTCATATGACACAGCCCTAGCTCCCGTCCATCTCGACTCTCTATGATGGGTATTCTCCTCTTCTCAGGTGTGGATAGAGCTCCCCACGGTGGTCACCTTTACCCAGATCCTATCTCCTTTTAGTCCCAGGGAAAAGGACAGCCCAACATTGACATACGCTAGGTTACTCAAACATAAAATGTTTCATTTGAAACACTTACAAGGCATGACAAGCAAACACATATTCCCTTTTTTGAGTTGGGGGTCTCACTCTGTTGCCCAGGGTCAGATGCAGTGGTATGATCATGATGCCCACGGCTCATAGCAGCCTCAATCTTCTGGGTTCAGGCAATCCTTCCACCTCAGCTCCCCTAGTAGCTGGGCCTACAGGCACCTACCACCACACCCAGCTAATTTTTAAAATTTTTTTGTAGAGATGGGGTCTTGCTATGTTGCCCAGGTTGGTCTCGAACTCCTGGGCTCAAGCAATCCGCCTACCTTGGCCTCCCAAATTGTTGGGGTTATAGGCATGAGCCACTGTGCTTGGCAGCATATTCCTACATACTCCCAAATTTGCTCCATGGTACAGCTGCAGTACTTGGTGTGGATGGAGGAGGTGGAGCCGGCCTTGCCCCTGTTGGCCGGTCCCCTAGAGGGCTTGCATGCAAGGATACTTGTCCACCCTTTAACTTACCCTCTGAAGGATACTTGCCATAGGGTGGCATTTCCAGTGACAAGATAACTGGCTCATGTTTTTCCTGGGTGACTGCCAGCACACAAGAAGAGGATGAGGCAGGTGGAAGGTTTCATGCCACAAACTCAGAAAAAGTAAAGAGAAGCCAGTGGCTCTTCCAAGGAAGACTGTGTGCTGAGATGACAAGCTCTGAGTTCTGACTCTGAATCAAGTGGTCAGGAGACCTGAGGACACGAGACACCGACACCCTTCCTGGGGGAGGGGAATCTGCCAAGTATCTCTTGTGGGGGAGTAGACCCCATGTCCCACAGGGAAAACATGGCAGACAGCATCCTATTCCTGAGCACTGTTCTGGGTCTAGGTCACTGAAAATGTGGCTATCTGGGTACTCCTTTCAGAAAGGATTCAGCTGCAGGGGTCAGGTGATTACCTGGGTATTCCAGATATGGACACACTTGTCAAAGGAACCACTGGCCAAGTATCTCCCGTCAGGGCTGAAAGCAACGCTGTAGACAGGTTCCTGGTGCTTAGTGAGTGTGTGAATGCAGACACCTCTCTCGACATCCCACAGTCGCACCGTGGAATCGAACGAAGCACTAGGAAGATGAGAGAGAAAACATACTTGTGTAAACATGTGAGTTTTTAAACTTTTCCCTACAATATGGGACCGATTTCAGAGGCGTACCTTTCTTTCTCAGCTTTTATGTTTTAAAAGACATAAGAAGAGCTTGTTCTCTTCTATAATACAATTCAGAGGTATTGAAAACAAGCTGATAACCACATTTATTTCTTCCTTTCTTCCCTCTCTTTTTTATTTTTTGTAGAGATGGGGTCTCACTATGTTGCTCAAGCTGGTCTCAAATTCCTGGCTTCAAGCCTCCCAAAGTGCTGAAATTACTGATGTGAGCTACCATGCCCAGCCTGTTTCTGCATTTTCTAAAGATATGAATAGTAAATACTTCTGTGGAATATTTACCAAGTTCTCTTTTCTTTTCTTTCTTTCTCTCTCTCTTTTTTTTGAAATAGGGTTTCACTCTGCTGCCCAGGCTGGAATGCAATGGTTCACTGCAGCCTTGACCTTCTGGACTCAAGTGATCCTCCTGCCTCAGCTCCTAAGTAGCTGGGACTACGTACTACCATGCTTGGCTAGTTTTTAAATTTTTTGTAGAGACAAGGTGCTCACTATGTTGCCCAGGCTGGTCTTGAACCAATCCTCCTGCCCCTGCCACCCAAAGTGCTGGGATTACAGGTACAAGCCATTGCGTCCGGCCAAGAACATTTACCAAGTTTTCCAAACTGCTCTTACAGTTTAAAACACAACATCTATTATTGCCAACTAAATCAGTGCAGACAGCCATATTTGGAAAAACAACAAATTAAGTGAATAAATATTTTAAAAAGTTAACCCAGGGAATTAAAATACAGTCACATCCACATATGTGATCACATTGCTAAGAAATGCAAATTTTAGTTATTTTCAAATTTAAAAAAATAGTACTGACCACAAACCTGTTATATGGCTGTCTTCTTCTCAGCAGGGACCCACTGGGCACTGGGATGTCCCTTTCATACTTACTGACTTAAAAGGATAACTCATGCTCCTAATGATACATACGACGCAAAAGCACCTTCTGAGTCAGCAAAAAGTGATCATATCATCACTCCATGAATTCTAGGACAGTTACTTGAAATGTGAGAATGATGGCCTTTATGTTCTCTGGCTCAGCCTCTTAGTAGATGCAGGAATTCCACCCCGCCTTTTCTAAGAGACGACCTCGGGGTAAACACAGTCAACTACATCCACACTGCCCGGTGTGGACACCCATCCACTCAACCACCATACCGCAGAGAGGCTGGGCGCTCCTTTCTCTACAGGAGCACAGTGCTGACCACTCACTTCTCTCCACAACCCTCTTTTCTGGAACTACAAAGAAGAAAGCCCCTGCTGCTTCCTGGTAGCCCAACATTCCTCCCAAACTTTGTCTTTTCCAGGGTCAAGAAACATCCATGTTTACTGGACCCAGCTTTGTGTATTCCTATCACAGTTTCAGACCCCTAAGTGTCCTGGCAGTCAGTCTCAGAATCTCTTTGGCTCATTCTTCTAATGTTAAAGTCCTGAAAGTGGAATGTCACATTCTGAACCAGGTCTGACGAGCATCAGGACATGAGGATTTTGCTGACAAACCCAGAGTGATGTGGTTTTGTCATGTAGAATCACTCTTCCCAATGCTGGCATCTGACAGACTGACCTCTCCACATCCTTCTACACTGGTGTCTTAGGAGATTCACTAAATGGTCAGGTCGGGTCTGGCCAGGACTGGAGAAGCTGTTCTCACTATTCAAAATAGATGCCACCAGCAGCTCAGCATGGAGCCACATCATCCAAGCCCAAGGTCTACATGAACCGAGCCCAAGGTCCATGATAAAGTACTTCACTTTTCCTTTTCTGTCTTAACAAAAACCTTGGTCAAGGTAAAGTGTTTGAGGCTTGGACATAGAACACATCCATCCTATCAGCCTCTTGACCAAAATCCTCCTCACTTTAAAGGTAGGTGTCACACAATCATCTTATCTCAGTCCCTTCAAAGTGACCTACCACTTCATTTCATTTGGAAGGGCTTCAACTTTCACTTTAGCACAATTTCCTGTTCCTTTTTGTGTAAGTTTTCTTGTATTTATTTATTATAGAAACAGGGTCTCACTCCGTCACCCAGGCTGGAGGGTAGTGGTGTGATTATAGCTCATTGTAGCCTCAAACTCCTGCGCTCATGCCATCCTCCCATCTCAGCCGCCTGAGTAGTTGGGACTATAGGCACATGACACCATGCTTGACAAATTTAACATTTTTTTTTTTGTAGAGATGGGATCTTGCTATGTTGCCCAGGCTGGTCTCAAACTCCTGGTCTCAAGGAATCCTCCTGTCTTGGCTTCCCAAAGTGCTGGGATTACAGGTGTGAGCCACCACACCTGGCCATGAGTAAGTCATACTGCCTGTGCTAACTCAGCTACAGTGAGTGAGGCTGCTTTTGGAAACTGACGCAGGGCTGGGCAGGCTGCCTGTCCTTACCTTGCCAACATAATGTTGGAGCTTGGGTTGCTGGTGGCTGGCCCAGTGGGGCTCCACTTGATGGTGTAGATCTCTTTGCTGTGAGCCTGAAGATCATGGACACACACGTCCTGCTTCATGCTCCAGATCTAGAGGACACATGGGCAACAACATGAGCAAATGCTGTTCCTTCACCCAGGAACAATTTGGCACCATTCCTTCCACGAGCACACATTAGGTTGGGGCCCGTGAGGTGGCCTGTGACAAATCAGCCCAGGAAGTGCTAGGGGAAGGCAGGACTCTCAGCAGGACCCTCAAATGTTAAGTGGGAGTTCACTGGGTGACAGGAAGGGAGCCTGGTAACAAATCATCCTCAGAGAGCCATGAACAGGAGATGGCATCGAGTGCCTGGGGTTGCGTGAGATGAACCAGCCCATCACTTCAGACACCGACTCTACCTTCAATGTCATGTCATCTGAGCAGGATGCTAGCAACATTCCAGAAGGATCCCATTTGATGGCATTGACCTCGTTCTGGAAGACAGCAAAGGGTTTGAAAGACATCAAGGCCTGTGGGTAGATAAGGCGGCCCTCCACCAGGGGGCAGGAGCACGCTGTCATCGCTGCCACGGCCTCTTGGGATTTTCCAATAGCAGAGAGTGCAACAGGAGGACCATCTATTTTTCTCTTTTTCTCACTCTGCCTTTTTCATTTCTATAAAAGCGCAGCCATGTACCACACATAACCAGCCGCCCTCATCCATACTTCTTTAAGGAAAAAAAATCCCTACTAAGAAGGAGGCCAAATGAAGAATTCACATACGATAAAGTGCAGCAAACAAAGCCAATAAAACCTGTTTCTCTGTTTTTCTTTTCTTCTTCTTCTTTTTTTTTTTTTGAGTTGGAGTCTCACTTTGTTGCCCAGGCTGGAGTGCAGTGGCACACTCATGGCTCACATCAGCCTCAACCCCCTGGGCTCAGGTGACCTTTCCACTTCAGCCTCTCGAGTAGCTGGGACTATAGACGCGTGCCACCATGCCCAGCTAATTTTGTTTTTATTTTTTTGTAAAAACAGGGTCTTGGTATGTTGTCCAGGCTGGTCTCTAACTCCTGGGCTCAAGTGAGTCCCCCACTTCGGCCTTTCAAAGTGCTGGAATTATAGGTATGAGCCACCAAGCCTCGCTGTAATCAGTTATTTTTAAAACTGGACTTTGAAAATCACTTACTTAAGCATTTAAAAAATTAATTTTTTAGAGATGGAATTTCAGTCTGTTGCCTAGGCCGGAATGCAGTAGTGTGATTATAGTTCACTGCTGCCCCCAACTCCTAGGCTCAGACGATCCTTCCACTTCAGCTTCCAGACTTGGGACTGTAGGCATGCGCCACCATGCCTAGCTAATTTTGGTATTTTTTGTGTAGAAACAGGTCTTGCTATGTCGCCCAGGTAGTCTTAAACTTCCAGTCTCAAGCGATCCTCCTGCTTCGGCCTCCCAAAGTGCTGGCATTACAGGTAGGAGCCACCGCCCCTAGCCTCCTATGCACTTTAAATACCACAGCTGCTCCCTGAGTCTACATTCATGACAAGGTGGTGAGAGGCAGAGGGGGAGGGAAAGGCAAGGGGTGATGCATCTGAGCTAGTGTCCAGTTTGCATAGGGAAACGGCTGCCTCAGGTGGAAGACGGGGCAACCAGATGCACAAGCACATCCAGGTATCAGTGGGGAGACACACGTGGCGGGCAGCAGGAGCACACGTGGGGGAAACACACTTGCCTGGCCTTGCTAACAGGTAGGGCACTTGGGAGCAGCAGTGGCGGGCTCCAACAGGCAGGCTCTGGGGACTGCGGTCAGCTCCCAGGTCCCCAGGACCTCCAGGCTAAGTCCTGGAGGAACAATGTACCCCGAGGGCAAGGAAGAAAGGGACACACAGGGGACAGACACTTAAAAGGATCAGCCAGCAGCAAAGTCTCAGTGGGGTATGGCCCGCAGGAGTGGGGGACAGAATGCACCAGTCAGAGACTCCCAGGAGTGGGCGCCTGCAGAGCCCCATCTGCCCAGGGCAATCCCATTCACTTATGCCAGCTGTCCCAGCCTCACATATGACTCATTTCACACCAATAATTAATTTTCTAAATAACTTCACACCCCTAAGTGCTCTGGTTTGGATGACAAATGATATATGGTCATGCTTTTTCTAAGGACACTGAGTTTTGAAGGGTGTGATCTGTGTTCCATGTGGCCCGGGTGGCAAGTGACCCAGGAAAGGGAGGAAGAAGCCTGGAGTCCCAGGAGCAGGCTGCTTCATGAGCCAGGGGATGGCAGAGGGGCACACTGGAGAGGGGGTGAGCGTGAGAATGTGTGTGTGGGTGTCTGTGTGTGTGAGGGGGTGTCCCTGTGGGTATGTGTGCAAGGACTGTTCAGTTGACTCTGACTGCAGCTGGTGAGAGGAAAAGCCACAGGCCAGTGCCCATGTACTGTCCCAGCAGACCCACAGTCTGTCCTCTAGAATGGCACACAGTCCCCAGGGTGGAGGCACAGTTCCTAGGCAGCATCCAGCACGGCTCCAAGACCTGGACTGAGTGCACTTACAACCCTTGGCTGCAGGGTGACCCACGTAAGAGGGCCAAGGGCGTGGCGGTGGTCAATCCCTAGCAGGACACACAGGTACCACACAGCGGTACCTGCAGTCCTCTTAAGAGCCAGAGGATAGTCCAGGGTTAGAGGAGAAACAGGTTCAGGCCAGAGCCATGAGGAGAGGGGCAGCTTTGAGCCACAAGGTGGTGTCAGCAGGACCACGGGAACCTGGGACACCAGGTGCCAGAAGAGGCAGGTACTAGGGAAATGAGGGCTTAAATGATGGCATCCCTCCAGGGACTCTGATCATCCTCCCCTGCTGTAACAGGAGGCTCCCCAACATGGAATGATATTCTGGGTGCTGGTGAAAAAAATGCAAGAAGCCATGGGCCTGTCCTTGACACACTTTCTGCGGGAGGCAGCCATGCAGACAGTGGCCACAGTGACCAAGACTTCAGTGAGCAATGGGGGCTTGGGTGGTGCCATAAACTCTCCTCAGAGAGCCCAGAGGACATGGCGATAGGTCTCAGAGTATGGGAAGATTCTCTGTCAGACCAAAGGCTGCCTGGAGTCTAAGGTGGGGAGTGTGGGCTTTTTGAACACTAGAGAGATTTGGGAAAAGACCAGAGAGCCTCTGATCCCACACTAAAGAATCTGCTAGTGTGGCACATGGGTCAGCTAAATCAGCTCTTGTTCACACTGTTGTTCCCTGGGGTGTGATAGGATTTTTTCTATCTCTGTATCACTGATTTTACTGTCTGATGACCACATGCCTAGGTTTATGGTGTGGTTCTCTTTATATTTGCTCTGCTAAGCTTCTTGGATTAAATGTATGATGTTTCCCACCAAATTTAGAAAACTTGGCCATTATTGCTCCAATAATTTTTTTGGCCCACTTTCTTCTTTCCCATTATACATCCATGTTTAGGGTGCCTGATATTGCCTTGTAGGTCACTAAACCTCTTCATTTTTTTCTCAATCTTTTATCTGTTCTTCAAACTGGCCAATTTGTATGATCAGTAACCTTTTGCAACCGCCAATCTGCTGTCATACTCATCTACTAATCTTTTCATTTTAGATATTATACTTCTCAGTTCTCAAATTTCTATTTTTTTTCTGTAGAGATGGGGTCTCACTTTGTTGTCCAGGCTGATCATGAACTCCTGGCCTCAAGCAATCCTCCACCCTCAGCCTCCCAAGTAGCTAGGATTACTGGCATGAGCCACAGCACTAGGCTTCATTTGTTTTTTAAAGACTTATTTTTCCATTTTCTGGACATTACCCATCTATTGTGTGCATCACTTATTGTGTGCATCTTTTCCTTTATGCCTTTGAAGTCATAGCTACTTTAAAGTCTTTGCTGCAAAATCCAACACTGAGATCGTTTCAGGGCTGGTTGTTCTCACTGCCTGCCCACAACTGGGTTAATCCAACCACCTGGGATAGCCTAACAGCTCAAGCAGCAGGGGCTGCAGCCATCACAGTATCTTTGAATTCTAGGCATAGATGAAACAGCTCCCACATCTCATTCTCATGAACTTGAGTCCGAAGATCAGAATTCCCACTTACTGTGTGTCCTTGGAAGGTTTTGACTGGGCGGTCACAGCCGAGCCGGCACACATGGATACACATGTCTGTGCTACAGGAGGCAAAGGTCGTGTTGTTCTGCCAGTCCACATCAAGTGCAGGGGCTGTGGGGCAAGGACGAGAGGGAGCACATTTACAGTTACTCACTGGGCACAGAGCTCCCTGACTTAGAACAATGAAGAATACAGTCAAGCAGTCTCATTTAGTGACATGATAATAAACATTCCCAGCGTGAGCATAGCCACTTCCCTTCTTTACAAAAAAATTAATTTATTTAATATTTTTAAGGGACAGGGTTTCGCTCTGTGACCCAGGCTGGAACGCAGTGACACAATTAAAGCTCACTGTAGCCTTGACCTCCTGGGCTCAAAGATCCTTCTGCCTGGGTCTCAGGGGAGCCCAGCACCATATCCCTCTTGGGCCAGCAGGAGGGTGTAGAGGACATTTGCATCTTGCAAACCCTAGAGCAAGCCTCAACACGAAATGCTTCTGACCCGAGGCTCTTTGGGCTCCTTCCTCTCTGTAGTCACAATTACTTTAAGGGGCATTTCAAACAACTCCAACTTACTAATTTTGAATTACAAAAAAACCCCACCAAACTCACCTGAATGAAAAGGAAACTGCTGTTTGGCTTCTCCTGTGTGGGCATCCCAAATTATTGTTGTCTGTGCTCGGCAAACAAAGGAAAAAGTTAGTAATTATTATTCTTACAAAGTTTTCTCTAGAAAAACGTATCATGCAGGAAAAGACAGTGAGTGCCTCTCCTCAGAAGCCAGCACTCTCCAACAGAGGTAGAATGCAAGCCGTATGGGCTATTTTTAGTTTTCTAGTATTTACATTAAAAAGAAGAGAGAGGCTGGGCGACATTAAAAAGAAGAGAGAGGCTGGGTGCGATGGCTCAGCCTGTAATCCCAGTACTTTGGGAGGCCGAGGCGAGAGGATTGCCTGAGCCCATAGGTTCGAGACCAGCCTGGGCAACTTGGTGAGACCTCGTCTCTACAATAATTCACAAAAAAAACCTGGCTAGACGTGGTGGTGTGCATCTGTAGTTCCAGCTACTTGGAAGGCTGAAGTGGAAGGATCGCCTAAGTCCAGCAGGTGGAGGCTGCGGTGGCCTTGAGTGTGCCACTGCACTCCAGCCTGGGTGATAAGAGTGAGACTTCAATTCAACTCAAAAAAAAAGAAAAAAGAAAAAAGAAAAGAGAAATCGGTAAAACTACCAATAGATTTCATTTCATGTCAACAGAGCCAAAATCTTATTGTTTCAACATGTGATCAGTATCAATTATTTTTTTCCGAGTCAGGGTCTCGCTCTGTCAACCAGGCTGGAGTGCAGTGGTATGGTCATGGCTCACCACAGCCACAACCTCCTAGGGGCAGGCGATCCTTCTGTCTCAGCCTCCCAAGTAGTTGAGACTACAGGCATGTTTTATCATACTCAGCTAATTTTTTGATTTTTTAAAATAGAGTTGAGGTCTTGCTACGTTGCCCAGGCTGGTTTCCAGCTCCTAGGCCCAAGCAATCCAATCCTCCCACCTCAAGCTTCCCAAGGTGCTGGGATTATGTGTGAGTCACTGTGCCTGGCTGGTCTGAAAATCTTACTGGGATATCTGGCATTCTATTTCTTCCCATCCTAGGTCTTTGTAACACAGCGTGTTTTACATGTAACAATTTGGATGGCCACATTCCATAAGCCCATCAGCCACATGTGCTTGTGGCTCTGATAAGGACACAGCAGCCTTAACCGATACTTGGGAAAATGATCAACATTGGTGGGATTCTCCCTCATCCCCAAATGCAGAAAACCACTGAAAACCCTGTCACAAAACTTATCTAAATGTATTTTTGGCATTTTTTTTTCCAAATAAAAGGCTGCAGAAATGAGCATTTTTGAAAATTCCCCGGCCCATCACTCCATGAATTGGGGCACTAGAGACAGCAAAGCCATGAGATTATATTGGGAGCAGGCACCGGTCTACTGGCCTATCAATAAGGAGCACAGGTGATCTCTGCCTTAGAAACAAAGTAAATCATGACTTCTTATACTCACTGACGCAGACTGGGAAGCGGCTTAGAGGCAGCTCAATGAATACCACTGGAATTAAGTCTTCATCCATCTAAATTTCCAATTTAATTGGAAATCTTACACTCTCGGTCAGTGACACTCAACAAAGATTTTGCTTTCAGGAGAACTAGTTATATTTTGTGCTGACAGGAAATTTTCAGAGGAAACGTACAGAGCAGTAAGAGTCTTTGAAACTTAGTACTCCCAAATTTTAAGTCAGCTCTAAACCAATTACCATTTGTTTGTTTGGGGTATGACTTTGTTTTTCCAGTCAGGGTCCTACTCCATCGCCTAGGCTGGAGGGCAGAGGCACAATCACAGCTCATCACAGCCTTGACCTCTTGGGCTCAGGCAATACCTTCTACGTCAGCCTCCTGAGTAGATGGGACTACCTGGGATTTTTTTGTAGAGCAGAAGTCTCACTATGTTGCCTAGGCTAGTCTCAAACTACCAGACTCAAACTATCCTTCTGCTTCGGCCTCCCAAAGTGCAGGGATTACAGGCATGAGTCACCATGCCTGGCCTCTTAATTTAGCCACACACAAGCAAGTCTGGCACTGCAGAGAATTTATACACTCTTTCACAGTTCTCTGATACAATTCCACATACTACATTAGTAATTGGATCATTTAGTTGATGCTTATGTTAAACACATTGGACAAAAGAAAACACTAATTACACAAAAGTTTTGAAGGCTCTAACATATATTTTGGGCTAAGCAAACACTGAAGGTCAACACCAGTGTCCCTGTAAATTACATTTTCTCCACGGGTGTTACATACAAGGACATTATTATTATTCCTGTTGTGCTTAACTAAGTAATGGTGGATACTACATAGCCCAAAAGCCTAATCTGATTCCAAACATGCATTTTTCATGGATCATACAATTCATCACCTGGTAGAGATAATTGATAATTGTGAGAAAAACACAAATGAATGTTAAAAAGATAGGAAAGAGGCCACGAAACAAAGACCTATTTAGAATTCGAGACAAGTCAAAGGGCAGTAGTTAAAGGTGATCCAGGGTTTCAGTCCCTCCCTCCACTCTACACCAGTTGTGTGTCCCTAGGCAAATTAATAAACCTGTCTAGGTTCCAGTTCCACCTCTGTAGAATGGGAGTGCTCATACTCATGTCGGCCTCCTCTCTTGGCAGTACTGGATGTAACCAGTTAGCACGGGTAGTAATCATGTGTCTGATATTGAGAAGTGCTGTCGTTTCCTAGAGGTCTTTTTTTTTTTTTTTAAGTCAGAGTCTCACTGTTGCCCAGGCTGGAGTACAGTGGCATGCTCACGATTCACCGCAGTCTCCAACTACTGGACTCAGGCGATCCTTCTGCCTCAGTCTCCTGAGTAGCCAAGACTACAGGCACACGCCACCAAGCCTGTCTAATTTTTTGGATTTATCATAGAGACGAGGTCTCACTATGTAGTCCAGGCTGGCCTTGAACTCCAAGGCTCAAGCATTCCTCCCGGCTCGGCCAGCAAATACTGATGGCCTACCAAATGCACAACACAGTGCTGTGCATGCATATTACTTGAATTAGAACAACCTAGGAAAAACCTGATGGTAGCTACATGAGAAGATAATTTAATGCATCAACCACAGCAACTTGACTTTTTAAATATTACATATTAGGCTGCCAAGTCTGAATGAAGGGTTGCTTGGCTTAAAAGGAAGAGACATAAAGAATGAATGACTCATTGATCTACAGAGTTATACCCTAGTTCAGGGGTTGGCAAACATTTCCTGTCAAGGGTCAGATATTTTAGGCTCTGAGGGTCATATAGTCTCGGTTGCAACTGCTCAACACATTGCCACTGTAATGTGAAAGCAGTCCTGCACAATTCTCAATAGGTGTGGTTCTGTACCAATAAAACTTTATTTTAAAAAACATGTGAGGGGCCAGATTTGGCCTGTGTGGGCCACAATTTGCCAAATGTTACTATGACTTCTCCAAGAGTGGGATGATGCTTAGAGGCCAAGTCTATTATTTCATTTAAAATTTTTGAACTTGAATGAACAGATAGCTGTAACTTAATAAGGTTTTCAAACTATGCAGAAATCATTATGAAATGCTAGTTGTCATAGTTGCTAGTTGTCGAAACACACGTTGATACAAAAACGTGTATTTTTTTTTAGCTCTTGATGCCCCTTCTTTCCCATAGTCATAACTCAGAATTCCTGCTGAGTCACAGAATGACATAACGGTTCAATGAAGGTTTTTTTGAGGGTCATGGCCACAAACAGCCCCGGACAATTGAAGAAAGCAGAACACAGAGGGGGTGAGATTGCTGGGTAAATTAAACTCCAAGCTGGCTGAGATGAAGTCTGTATCTACTTCCTCTTCGCTTGGGCTCCCTCGCTCTCAGTGTCGGCTTCTGGACACACCTGGATTTAATGTCACCATGTCTCCCTGGCAGCTATGCCCAGGGGTAGAGCAAGACATGGGCTGTCAGGGAAGCATGCCCTTGTACCCAGGTCACTTTACTCTGCTCAGTGAAACCTGCAGTCTACAACAGGGAGCAGAGCACTCTGTGTGACTCATGCCCCTCAGTGGGTGAAGTTTTACACCGGGCACACCATGTGGCTCCTTCCAGCAACTGACAAACTCAACCTGGACACTTTTCTTTTTCTATTACTGAACTACGTACTTCAAAAAGAAGAAGCTTTGAGCCTGTGTAACAGTAGAACACATAAGAGATGACGTGTTAGAAATTAACAGGAAGATCAAAACCACAGAAACAAACAAACCCAAACAAATCCCTTTGATTTCTTAAGGGGAAGCAGAAAGCTTAGGAGTTCTAAAAAACCATGATGCTCTTTGAGATTAAAAAGAAATAAGCATCTACAGATCAAAGCAATGTGTTTGAAGCTGATACTCACTTTGTCTACACCAGCGCTCAAAATGTAATTCCCCTTTTTGTTCCATTTCAAGGCAAAGATGGGACCTTTATGTTGGCCTAAGGTGCTGGCCAGGTTACCTGTTAATAAAAAACAAGCAAACAAACATGTTGATTTCAAAGTCATGGTCTGTTCACTCAAGGTCTCCATCTGGCAGCACCTCTCACTTGACCCCAGCATGAGGGACACAGAACTTACCATCTTCTGTCCATATTCTTGCAAAACCATCATATGAACCTGTAGCCAATAGTGTTCCATCGCTCTGAGGGCCAGAAAGAGACACAAATCACAAAGTGGCCTCATGGTAGCAGCACAGGAGAAGCTCTGAGTCTCTCCCAGGATCCCAATTCTAGAATATTCTTTAATCAATAATTGGTCCCAAGTTATGAGACTCATTCCTCGCATCTGGCAACATTAGCACACACTGCTCTTAAATCAAATGCAAGGCATGGAGATGCAGGAGACAAGGTGGCAATGAACGTGCTGGAACCATTTGCCACTGGATGTTCTCTAATGTTTGACAGAAGTAAAAATACCAGGCAGGAGGTTATCATGAAACTATGCAGAAAGTAAGAAGTTACAACAGTGCGTGTTCCACATGTCAATGCACTGAATACCTGGTGGTGAAATCTCTTGATGGAGAGTCACCTTTTCTGGGTGGCAGGCCACATGTCCCCAGTGGAAATGCCTTAGGCCTTTGTCCTACCTTCCCACAGTGAGGCTCTTCCCCGCGAAGCACCACTGGGCTTGTCTTGCTAAGACATACTTTCGATACAAAGATACAACTACAGAACTCCCAGTTCACCACCCAGCGTAGCCTTGGAAAGAGCTCTTAGAAATGGAGACCACCTCTCCAGCAAGCCCCCAGGGTGGAGCTGATGCATGTGGTGGTGGTGGGGGTGTCTCCTGCCTTCCTGTGTTTGCATGCAGCCCTCATCTGGCAGATTTTTCTTTTTTCTTTTGAGACAGGGTCTCACTGCCATCCAGGCTGGAGCACAGTGATACAATCAAAGCTTACTACAAACTTGAACAACTGTGCTCAGGTGATCCTCAGCCTCCCAGGTAGCTGGCATTATAGGCAAGTGCCACCAAATCCAGCGAATTTTTATATTATTTTGTAGAGAGGGGATCTCACTGTGATGGCCAAGCTGGTCTCAAATTCCTGGCCTCAGGAGATCTTCCCACCTCAACCTCCGGAATAGCTAAGACTGTAGGCATACACCACCATGTCCAGCTAACTTTTTGTTTTTTGTAGATAGGGTCTCACTATGTTGCCCAGGCTGGTATTGAACTCCTGGCCTCAAGTGATCCTCCAGCCTTGGCCTCCCCAAATGCTGAGATTACAGGTGTGAGCCACTGCACCTGATGTCATTGACAGATTTCAAAGTGGCCAGGGGGTGGAAGATTCTTACATTCCAGTCCAGTGAGGTAACATCTTTGTTACTCGGGACATCGTGACCCCCCTCTCTTATACAGTGCCTCAACACAAGCTGAGTGGAACCCCCGCTGCTGTTCTCATTAAGGTTCCATATCCTTGCAGTTGAGTCTCCGGATCTGCAGGATAAAAACACAGGCGTCTTTAGCTCAAATGGGAAAAAAAGCCCCTTGTAACTTGCTCTCTGGCTAGGCAGACATCTTTTGCATGTGGTCTCCATCTTTTTCACACCTCTCACACCTCTCGATCATTGTGCTTCCCTTCTCACCACCTTTGCACCAGTGATTTTAAATGTCTTTGCATTGCTTCCCACCCCCATGGAAAACCATGCCCTCTTCATAATACAAGATACACGGTGAAGTGACCTGCAAAGCCACCCATTCCCAGGTCTGCCCGGACTAGGCTAAGAAGGGGAGCACATGTTCCTTAAGTTAGAACCCCAGAGAAGGGTGACCAACTTGCTTCCCCCAGACCCTGGAGCACCCCTGTCCTGACATCCTTACCCAGAAGCTAGCAGATCACTGACAGGGTTCCAGGCACAAATGAACACCTCGGACTCATGGCCCCGAAGGACTGTGGCTTTGGTAGATGGAATCTCAACATCTCCATCTATTTCCATCGGTTTCGAATGATTATCTGTCATAGGAAACATGAAAAGAAGCGGCTCACCAACACAAGGGAAACGCATTGTTAGGCACCTTTGTTCTAGAAACACCTTGTTTTTACATATGAAGTACTACTACCTCTGACGCTTAAGACTAGTTTGTAGCTTTTGTGTGATTTAGTAAGTATTTTATGTTTCTTTATATTGTGAGTCTCTAAATGTCATTGAGAAATAAAAAGTTATGTATTCCTTATAACTGAGGTCAGCCCACTATGGCCTGTGGACCAAACTAGCCCTTGGCTGTCTATCTGTGTAAACAAAGTCTGAGTGGTACACAGTCACATCCACATGTTGGCAAATTGCCTAAGGCTACTGTTATAGGCTGAATTGTGTCCCCTAAGAGTCATATGTTAAAGATCTGATTTGCAGTCCCTCTGAATGTGACTAAATTTGGAGACAGGATCCTTAAAGAAGTGATTAAGGTAAAATGAGGTCACCAGGGTGGGCCCTAATCCAATAAGACTAGAGTCCTCATAAGAGACTATGACACAGACACACTCAGAGGGACAACCACATGAGGACACAGGGAAAAGATGGCATCTACCACCAAGGAGACAGGCCACAGGAGGATCCAACCCTGCCAGCACCTTGATCTTGGATTTCCAGCATCCAGGATTGTGTGAAAATAAATGTTTGTTTTTTAAGCTATCCCATCTGCAGTCTTTTGTGAAGGCAGTCCAAGATGCCTCACACAGCTGCTTTTGCATGACAGAGTAGTTGCGACAGGTACTGTAGGCCCTCAAAGCCTGAGACAGGTGCTGTCTGTCCCTTTACAGAAAGCTTATCATCCCTGCTTTGTGCTAATGAAAAAGTAGCAATATAGTCTGATCAAACAATCTGCATCAGTTGCTATTTCTACAAGGTAAAGAATTGCACCACTTGGTTCTCTCTCTTCCGTAAAGATGCTTTGGTGCAAAACCCCAGGAAGAAAAGAACTGACTACCTGCTCAGTGGCAGGTAGCCTAAGATTGCCTTGCTTCTGTTTAGAGGTGCAAGAAATAAGACAACACCTGGCATCTTGCTTGGCTTGAGAAGCCCGATACAAAATATTCAAGCAACAATGGGTCTCCTCAAAGCTGGCATTTCTCTTATGGTTCCGAAGGTCTTTTCAGGCTGGAAGAAAGGAAAACTGTCTTTCCACGTTTGACAGATCTGCCCCTGGTGATGGCAAGAGTAGACCAGTGTCCCGGGAGCCATGTGGCAATGGGGGATGGACCAGGTATCTCCCAGGAGGCACGGAAACAGGATTTGTGTCCTCATCAAAAAGCAGCCTTGGAAGGCTCCCACCTTGACAGGCTAGGCTGCTGCTTAGACATGAGGTTCAGGGACTGAGAGCTGTTCTGGAATTTCAGCCGGGGTAGACTGGTCAGGACTGGCTTCATGCATAGGTGAGGGAAGAAGCAGAATTCTCAGAGGATGGGGTTGGCACAGACCCAGTCTAGGCAGATGACTCCAGGCGGAGACCCAGGCCCACAGCAGGGAGTTCACGGGACAGCCTCACACATGTCTCAGCACAGTGCATCTGACCGTGGGTCTCTGTTCTAGTTTTCTTTTTTTTTTTTTTTGAGTTGGAGTCTCACTCTGTCGCCTAGACTGGAGTGCAGTGGCCGCTCCCAGCCACCGCAGCCTCGACCTGCTGGGCTCCGGCGATCCTTCCACCTCAGCCTTCCGAGTAGCCGGAATTACAGGCACGCGCTACCACGCCTGGCTGATTTTTGATTTATTGTAGAGATGAGGTCTCACCAAGTTGCCCGGGCGGGTCTCGAACCTGCGGGCTCAGGCAATCCACTCACCTTGGCCTCCCAAAGCGCTGGGATTACAGGCTGAGCTTCCGAGCCTGGCCTTGTTCTAGTTTTCAATAGCTTTTCTGATGTGGGGGTTGGTTGGTGGAAAGGGCACTGGGTCTGGGCAATTTTTATGATATGACTGTTCAGCTAAAAAGGACAACAAAAAAGTCTACTACTTGTCTTCACAGGCCACTAGGCATCCCTGAGGTCCTCTCTGAGGGCTGCTGGGCTGGACGTTGCTTTTCTTCTATGTTCTTATCACGCATAACACATTCTACGGAGAACAACTAATCATACCTTGTCATCACTCAAAGATTACTGTTTCCATGATGAGACAAGACATTTCATAGGGGCACACCTTTCCGACTATCACCCCTGCATCTGGGAGGTTCCAACTGATGCACACCATCATTCTTTCAGAATGTCCCTACCTTCAAACACACTCATATTCTTGGGATCTAGTGCTTTTTTCTTACTGAAGTCACCTTTGCAGCAGGCTTTCAATTTAAAATTTTTTAAATTTATTTTTAGTTTGTGGACAGGATGTCACTCTGTCACCCACGCTGGAGAGTGCAGTGGCATGACCATAGCTCACTGCAGCTTTAACCTCCTGGGCACAAGCAATCTTCCAGCCTCAGCCTCCCAAGTAGCCAAGACTATAGGTGCATGCCATCACACTTGGATAATGGAAAAATAAATGTTTATTGGTAGAGTTGAGGTCCTGTCTTGTTACCCAGGCTGGTGTTGAACTCCTGGCTTCAAGTGATCCTCCTACTTCAGCTTCCCAAAGTGCTAAGATTACAGGCATGAGCCACCGTACCCAGCCCGTATCTGGTTTCTTACTCTGAGTAGAACCTCGAGGCTGTCTAACCACATGAATCTTCCCAGAGAGCACCACAGGGTCCTGATTCTGGGTTACTGAGTGGGCTCACTGACATGCTCAGTGCCACCTTCAGGAAAAGCAGCCTAGAACATGGCCACTTTTCCCCAATGTGGGAGGAGAACAAAAGTTCTTGAAGGTGAGAAGGAAATCTGACTTCAGCTCTGGCCTTAGCCTGTTGAGAGGTAATAGTAGCAGAGGGGCCAGGCTGCCTCATGTCAAGACAGGAGGACACTGTGGATGTGAGCAAAACAGGTGTCACCGGGTCCAGGGCACAGAGTGGATGGGAAGGTCTGAGGTGCCAGAAGGCGGCCGCAGAGAAGGCAGCAATACGAGTTCTCAGGTGATACCCCTCTCGGACTAGCCCGCAGGCCCTAATGAAGCCATAGCCACGTGTCTGTGAGCTGCCAGCGTGGCTTAAGGCATGTTCTCATCTCTATTTGTTCCGTGTGCGGGATCAACATGGACATCACATTAGTGTCTTAAGATTCAAAGAAGTTTAAACATTTGCACAATCTCTTCATCAGCAGACACCGAATTCTCAGAGTTCACCAGTTACACATTACTTTCTGTGATGTACAACTGCAAAAACAGCGACATCTATTCTATTTTTGAACACTTGAGGGCTGTACCCCCGTCACTGGATAGCCAATAAATGGCTTGTCTGCACACAGCAGGTCTTTTCTTCTTTTCCTGCCACTAACTACAGACCTTGTCAATAGTGACCACAGAGCCTGATGGTAGAGGTCTTTTCATTTTAGAGGCAGATAGCCTTTTCGTCATCATACTGCAATAGAAATGGTATTAAGGTCTATGTGGGCTTGCTGTTAAAGCTACATCTGATTCAAACCAGAGAGAGACTTCAAGAATTCGTCCACTGGCATCTGTGACTCAGGCTATAGCCTCAGCAGAGGCAGCCAGCCCTCTGCATGTGAGGAAGCTGTGGAGCCGGGACCTGCTAGGCATGACCCCAATGTCACAGATCAGTCTTCAAGGACAGCTGGGCTGCATGGCTGCTTGGAGGAAAATGCCTTTTAAGTAAGGAAGAACACACACACTTATGCACACACACATACATACCTGTACCATGTGTATTGACACACGGCCACACATACATGCAAACTTGCACCATGTACACTCACACCATGCACAAACATACACATCTGCACATGCGCACACACTATGTACATATGCACACTTTGAACACAGACCCTGAAGCAGGGTCCCTCAGAGCTTATAAAAGCATTAAGTATAAGATGGAGGTAGGTTCTCTGGGTACAAATTTGTGTTCTCTGATTTCTTTGCCACACATTCTCGGGCAACTCTCTAACAAGGCCTGACCTCCTACGGTTTTGCGAAGACCAAATAAGCTGATGTCCAGCGTCTGGGGCCGGGTGCCTTGGCAGTGACCGAGAGTTTGACTATTATATCCCAATTTGATGGAAAATCCTCAACTTGGAAGGCCAAGAGGCTGGGAGTAAAGGCATCCACGGAGGAAACGTTTTGGTTTAGGGTGGCCAATAAATCATTGGGTACTTCTCCTTGCTATACTAGAGTTCTCAGGTTAGCAGTAGTGCAAGATTTCCTAAAATTGAAGATGCATGAGCACTGAACATTAGGGCTAAGGGCTGTGATTTAAAAAAAACAAAAAAAGGAGTTCACGAGGCTCTTCCAACCAGAACACCCGGAAGCACTAGTGGATGGTTCCTGTCATCTCTCTCTGGCTAGAGAATCATAGCCAGCATTTGATGGGAAGCCCATGTAGGCTGACAGTTACGGTGGGATGATGGAAAGAAAGGCCATCTGCCACTAAAACGAAAAGTAGCTGATCACCTACTCACACCAGACAGTAAACAAACACCAGAAAGCAGCTTTTAAGACATGTATCCAGGCAGCTTTAGGAGAAAACAACAACCCCAGAAACCCAAACTCCCAGAGCCCTGCACGCACTTATGTTATGTGCTCCATTCTCGTCCCCATTCACGGTGGTCTCTCCATTCTTTGGTGGATTTTGATGGGAAACAGTTGCTTGGGTTGTCGTAGCCGCTGTTGTGGTCGCTGCCGCGGCCGCTGCACTGGCCTGCTGCTGTGCGAGCTTCTCTCGGAAGGCCTGCTGCCTCGTCTGCACCACATCGGGCATCACCGCGTCTATCAGGGACAGGGACTCTATGGGACGGCCGTCGAACACTGTGCCATCCTGGGGAAGCAAGCCAAGGCAACAGCCATCAGCTCACATGGAAGAGACAGTCTGGGAACAGCCTCTGCTCTCTAGGCAGGAGAGGCACAGGGGAGCAGAGCACAAACAGCTGGCACCTAGCAGCAAGGGGGTTGTGGAGGAAGCTGGCCTTGACTGGGCACCCAGGAGTATGGGGCAAAGGGATTCCATCGGGGAGGGGGTAGGGAGTAGGACGGGGGATTTGGGGAACCATGGATGAAGAACTAGGTGAATGGTTGTTCTGAATGTGAATGACAAATCGAATTAGGGCATTAAAGATTTCTACTTCTGGATAAAAAATATGTGATACATATAAACAATGGAATATTACACAGCCATAAAGAAGAACAAAATCATGAACTTCACAGCAACCTGGATGGACTCAGAGTCAGTAATACTGAGTGATCTTTCACAGAAACAAAGAACATGTTCTCACTCATAAGCAGACCTGAACAATTATCATAATACTATAAGAAAGGGATTGGCAGTAGTGGGAAACTGCCAGAGGAGGGGGGCATACCTCATCAACAAGGGTACCTGCACAATGAACATTAGTATACCTAGCCCTGAATTGTACCCCACATCTTCAAAATAAAAAAATTAAAAGCTTTAAAAAAATGAAAAAATTAAAAATTAAATTAATAAAAATAAAGATACCCATTTATTTCACCACAAAAATGCTATCACTGATGCAGTGATTCTCAATGGGGGGTGGTTTTGCCAGGACATCAGGCAGTGTCGGGAGACATTTTCAGTAGTCACACCTGAGGAAGAGGAGGTTCTACGGGCATCTAGTGGGTGGAGGACAGGGACACTGCTCAACACCCTACAGTGCCCAGGACAGCCCCCGACAGAGAACAACCCAGCCCCAAACGTCCAGTGTTGAGGCTGAGAAGCCCTGCCCAGATGCTATCACAAGTAGGGAAAGTGTCTGCAAATAACCACCCATTCCTATGGGAGGGGGAACACTTCAGAAGCATCAAGCAAGTCAGAGATGCCTGCAACACCAGGATTTGATTCCTGGTACACTTGTCCACCTGATGGAATAAAGAGACACTTACTGCTATCTGAAACGATTCCTTGGGGTCAGGGTGTAGACTAAATGCAACCATGGCACACTCAACAGTGACATCGTTTAGTTGTGATTCATGTGTTTTGAATGTCCTCAGATTCTCTGGTTTCTATCTCCCATGAAAAATACCTCCACACACTTTTAAAAATATAGGAGGAAGTTCCTTCCCTACAAAGCATGCCAAGTATTCGAGTCACGTGAAACTCAATATGCCTCAGGCTATGTCTGGTGGATGTGCAAACACGTTTTTATATGCTCTGAACTAGAATTACCTCAGAAATGAGGAAGAGCTGAAAGACACGAGTCTTAACTAAAGAGCACCTACATGAAACAGTCCCCCAGCTGATTTCTGATTACAAGACAATACTGGAAATAAGGAAAACGATACAAAACAACACAACCTATGGATGATCCCCTCAGCCCCTTGCCCCCAATTCCAGCCATGGACTGGGCAGTGGTGATCAACTGGTCACATAGCTCTCACATTCTCTTCTTCCTTTCATATATCCACACCCCATATGGACGAGCATGCCACAAAACGTAGCAACTGCCCAAGTAATAACAACACCTACTCACTTAAATCCTAAAAATACCTCCTCATTTCAATTCTTAGGAGCACACGGTCTCACTTTTGAGTGACTGTAAACCATTGTGACAAATGGGATGATTTTTCATTCACCTCTGCACGTGCTGGACTTTGGAGTGCGGAGGAAGAGCAGTCATGAGGGCTTCTTAAAAAGGAGACATGGAGGCTGGGCATGGTGGCTCAAGCCTGTAATTCCAGCACTTTGGGAGGCCGAGGCAAGGGGATTGCCTGAGTCCACGGGTTCAAGAACAGCCTGGGCAACTTGGCAAGACCTCATCTTTACAATATATCAAAAAATTAGCCGGGCGTGGTAGCATGCACCTGTAGTTCCAGCTACTTGGAAGACTGAGGTGGAAGGATCGCCAGAGCCCAGCGGGTCGAGGCTGTGGTGGCCAGGAGCAGCAACTGCACTCCAGTCTGGGCGACAGAGTGAGACTCCAACTCAAAAAAAAAAAAAGGAGACGTGGAAACCAAAGGGCACAGGAAAGCAAGTCACAGCACCCTGAGATCTGGGAGCTGCTGCGTGCCTTGGGCATGTACTCTGGTCAACACACCATGTGCTCCATGGAGAAACGGACTAGATGGGCCAGAAGGAGCCAGTGGGAGACACCCAAATCCAGGGAAGAAAGAGCACGAGACACACGGACACTGGTGTTTCAGAGATGTGGATTTGCCAAAGATGGCAAAGTGCAAGGCAGAAGACAGGATATATTACTTGGTGATTTTCTAAGAGTTTTTTTAAAAAGCTCAAGAGAAAGAGGCATAATATGCTGTGAAGAAGGGTTTATCAGGGAGGGAGCAGTTCCCAGGAAGATGGGACAGGGAAACCCTGGGAGGGGTCACCTGCAGGTAGGATGTATCCTGTGAGGGTAAGACTAGGGCGGAATCACGCCTGTGTTAGAGCAGGAGGGAGAGGGGCAGACAGAAGGGGCTGGGAAGTGGGGAATCGACAACAAACTCAGGTAAGGGCAAGAAGGATGTAAGTCACAGCCAAGGGGAACTTCACTGCATAATCCTGAGCAGAGGAGGGGCAAGAGAGAATGAGGGGCGCTGTTTAAAACCCAAATAGCAGATTTTCAAAACTAGCATAAAACTGGCACGACCACTCATTGTGCCCCAATCTAAAAGCAGGAAAGGGTACGAGCCAATCCATGTGGTTTTAATGTGTGGTTATTATTTGACACACACACCCCCCCCTTCAGTTGTATAATGAGTACAGTAATGCAATTGTCACTGGAGGGTCTCTTCCACGGGAGGGTCAGTATCTCTCTGCCCCTCTGTCAAGTTCCCACGAAATACAGAGTCTCCTGGGCATGTATGGGATCACTCTCTAACCACCCTCCTCCAAGAATCAAGAAGACAGAGCTCTAAAAATCAACCTTCCATACGACCCCATAATCCCCCTTCTGGGAATATACCTGGAGGAACTCAAATCATTCTATACAAAAGATACCTGCACATGCATGTTACTGCAATACTATTCACAATAACAACAACATGGAACCAATCATGCTGACCATCGAAAGAGAACTGGATAAAGAAAATGTGGTACATATACAATGATGGAATAGCATGCAGCCATAAAGAAAAACAAAACTATGAACTTTGCAGCAACTTGGATGGATTTAGAGTCTATACTACCCAGTGATCTATCACAGAAACAAAGATCTGAGTACTACATACTCTCACTCAAAAGTGGACCCTAAACATTTACCATGATTCTATAAGAAAGGGATTGACAGTAGGGGGACACTGCTAGGGAAGGGGAGGGGCACATAACATCAATAAGGGTACCCAATGTCAAACCAGGTGAAGTAGGGACCAAGGGGAGGCCCAAACATTACCTGTACAATGACCACTCATGTACCTAACCTTGAATTGTACTCCACATCTTTAAAATAAAATCAAGAAATTTAAAAAAAAGAAAAGAAGAGCGAGTCTGCGCATGCGCAAGGTGAACGCCTACTTGGAAGCTCAGAGCACTTGAGGCTCTACTGTGTCTGTTTCCAGTGGCAATGTATTATGTACATCAGGCAACAGACAGGAATCCTGGTTATTTATGTGAGAAACACAGATCCATATGGAAGGGACATTGGGGCTTGCTACTGGGGTTGTCACACAATTGTAATCCCTAGTGGGAAAAAAAACACCCCACTTACTCTCAAATACCCAAGGAAAATGCACATTCGGTTCTGACTTGCTTCCTGAGCTCTGCTGTTTGGGGGCCAAGTCTCCACACCTACGTACCTCATTGATGCTGATCTCAGCCTCCACATACTGTAGTCCCTTCTGAAGAATGGAGATGAGGGCGGCCGGCGGCACTAGCGTCCCATTGATGTTGGACTGACTGATGTGGCTCTCGATCCCAAACGTGAAAGCCGAGTGAGAAAAACCTGCAGTGGGAGGAGAAAGTCGAGGTTGGCTGAGACCTGCACTGAAGGGGGGAGGTGCAGTCACTGAGGCTGCAGGATGGCCAGGAGTGTTTCTGATTTGAAGTCAGGGAGAGAGGGATAAATTTGAGACCCAGGAAGGCCAGAGTTGATATGTGATGGACTAACAGCCTTTAATAGTAGGACCCTTTAGCGTTATTGAGAACAAAACAGAGAACAGAGAATGGGGTCTGCCCTGCGTACCCTGGTAGGGTATTCCTGTCACAGATGTTCACCAACTCCCTGGGTTGTAGCACTCTCTACAGAAACTCAAACAGAAGCCTCTCTGTGTTCCCAGCTGCAAGCAAACAGGGTGCCTTTCTTTAGGCTAAGATGAGGGGACCGCAAGTGCTGAGCTCTGAGCACTCCCAGCATGGGGGTACAAGTGCATGACACAAGCCAATGTTTGAAGATGGAGAAGAGGCCGTTTTGGACTGGCTGGTGTGGCATGGAGTCGTTTTCTCAAAACACTGGGAATTTATTTTGCTAATAGATGCTGGCTCTTTCCCTGTCCTCCCCAAGGCATCTTTCTCTCTCATTCCCTGCATAGGAAGCTGCTGATAAATAAACCAATTGGCAATGTAAAGGTGTTTTCGGATAAGCATCGGATGAAGGTTCTTGAATGAAGATGTCGGGAGAAGAGTCAGGATTGTTCCAGCACATAGAAAGTCATGCCATACACTCATGTTTAATGCCTGATAGCATTTGGTCATTTGTCTCCTCCAAACCTCAGGTTGAAATGTGATCCCAATGTTGGAGATAGGCCTGGTGGGAGGCGTTTGGGTCGTGGGGGCAGATCCCTCATGAATGAGTTCTGGCTCTGTTGGGTCCCAGAAAGCTGGTTAAAAGGGTGTGGCACCTCCCCTACCCTTCCTGCTCTCATCATGTGACACGCCAGCTCCCCTTCCTCTTCGACCATGAGTAAATGCCTTCCCGAGGCCTCAGTAGAAGTAGAAACTGGCACCATGATTTTTGTGAGCCAAATAAACCTCTTTGTTTTATAAATGACCCAGCCTCAGGTATTCCTTATAGCAAGGCAAACCGACTAACACAATGTCTGTTTCAAGAAAAGGTAATGGCACAGAACATGGAAGGAGCACTGAGAATTCACATGGGGATCTGAGGTTGATGCAGAAGCTGCAACAGTTCTTCCTCGGCGACAGGGAGGTGGCTTCTTACTGCTGGGGAGTCTAGGCTGCTGAAGGTATTTTCTTAGAACAGGTAACTCCATCCAGCAGGGCCAGATCACCTTACTTGGTACGAGGCAGTCTGGGGGTACACGGGAGCTTGAAATCTCTGGGGAGGTAGAAGCCATGGGGGAATCTGGGGACCCGTGTGTGCAACATGAGCACACTCCGGATATGGCCCCAAATTGGGAGTTGGAGCCTGGGGAAGGGTCCTGGGGGTAGCCAATCCGGGATGTCCCCGTCCTCTCAGGCTCTGTGCCTGGGCACACAGAGGTCATGCTGAGGCCATGGCAGTGTCCCCTGTGCCTACTGACCACATCTTACAGCTGTGCATAGTGAGTGTTCTTGTCACCCTTCCTGGAGGCAGATGCCCCCCTGGGCTGATTCAGATAAGATCGGGCACACCTAGACCAATGCCCATAATCTCTGGTTCACCTTTATGTTCATTGTAATACTAAAAATCCCACCTCTAGAGAAGTCACAGTCATGTTGTGCACATGCAACGTTATGTATAAATACGTTCTCACACTGTGACTGTGCACTAGAAACCCCACCCTTTTCACACTTAACCCCACACTCCACCCTGTGTAAAATGCTATGTGACCTGCGTGCCTTTTCCAATTGGGAGCAGTTTTTTCCTGCCCAGCCACCTGCTCCTGGACCATCTTCCCTGTAGGTAAGTTCCTGAACAAAGTCTATCTCATTCATTATCTTCAGGTCATTTCTTCAGCTTCTTGGACACAGTGCCTTTCTGAGGGGTCTTTGGAGGTCTGGTACTACACCATATGAGTGAAATGGACCCCCAATGCTTGGCTCCCTGGCTAGAGCTTGGGTGGGCACCAAAGACATTCCCACAGCATGGCTGTGAACTCTCACACTGTTGACATGTTCCACTAATCAGGCAACTGAGCAGGTTGCAGGAGTCATGAAAGTGAGCGCTCCAACTCCCACGAAAGGACCTTCTTCTGCCCACTGTTTATGGCAAAGCCATGGGCAGCTGGTGGTCCCAGGAGGCACAAATGCCAAACTTGCTAGGTATGTGTTTCTCTTATGCTCTCTTTCACTCAAAGTGGGGTAGTGGGAGCTGGCTTCCCTCGGCTTCCACATCAGGGCCCTTTGCCTCATGTTATCCAAATGCAGACTAACCTTGCAATAAACGAAACGCTCACCAGATGGGAATGTTCCTCCATGAAAGGATAGTTGTGTGGGTACACACTCTCCTTCCTCCTTTCTGATGCTTCCCTTTCCTGTCTAATTTCTCCCCTCCTCGATCCGCCGACTCTTACTCCACAATGCCTGGTTACAACGAACATATAAAATATGTAGTTTAGACTGACCTAATTTGTCTAATATGGGAGCTGCTGTTAATTTTACAATGGGTTACACAGAACCTCGTATATTTCTTTACAAAACGATTAACCACCTAAATTAGCTTGCAAAGGAGCCCCTCAGAGGCTCCCCCACCCCAAGACTCCTCCCTGCCTGCATTTTTGGAGGATATAAGTAAAGGCCCTTTATGACTGACTTTTTTCTTTCTCTCTCTCTCTCTATTCACCTTCCTTTCCCCTACCCACTCCTACCAAAACACAACAACCTGCTCCTGTGTCCCCCAATGACTCCATTCTCCACCCTGCCAGAGAGTCTCATCTCCAAACTTTTATCACTCCGGTTTCCGGCAAAGTATGGACTAGAAAAACCCTGTCAATGGATGGAGTGGGACCACACTGGAGTCTTGGCGATACCCCATCCATAGCGTGGAATCTCCCCTATCAACTCTGGCTGCGGTGATTTGGCTCTCGTAAGAATTCATGGCTCTCAAGGCTGACAGGAGCCATTCACCTGGCTCCTTCTCAATGGCTTTAGGCCAATTCACTTAAGCCTCTTAGCAGTCATTCCCTCATTGCCTCCTTTGTCCTTTATGGATAGGTCTCTGAGATCTTTCAAAGGCACCTGACAGGCTCACATCACTCAGCTCACAGGAGTGGGGCTGAAGTCCAAACCCTGGCAGTGGGAATCATCTACCAAATGCATCAGGATACAGCATTCCATGCCGATGAGGGCTCCTGATAATAACACATCTCAGTGACTGATGGAGCAACAGTGGAAGAGAATTCACTGAACGGCACATTTCATTCTTTCACCCATTCATTCATTCCTCAAGCAACACTGGGCCACAGAAGCGACATTGAAAGGCATGTTAAGCGTCACAGAGCATATTCTGACTACATTATCATCTTGAACCAAACCTAGGCATGCTGTGTCTACTATCATCAATCTTGGTAGCAGCTGTTGAGAGTCTGTGCTGTTCATGTTTCACACATAAGGGCAAATACTGGAGGAATCAGGTGATCACCCCAGGTTTATACATGTGATGAGAGGAGGAACTAGAATGTGAACCCTAGACTATGTGACACCAAGATTCACCTTTTACCCTACACTCTAAGAACCACAGGCATAGGAACCAAAATTCTTGAATTCTCAAGACTCCATTTCCATCTGGCTGCCAAACTAGACCACCAGGTGGCTCTGAGCAGCAGCTGCCTTGGGTACAGCCCAGGCAACTCTCAATGAACAGGGTGCAAGGCCCAGTCTAACCCAAGGTTTTTTTAAACGTAGGGTATATGGTTTGGCTGTATAACTCTCTTATCTCTCTACGTGATTAAGCTCTTTCACATAGACTCCATTCTAGACCATGTGGATGACATATTCAGTTAAGGCTTCTTGAAATGAGGGGATGGAGCAGTAAGACAGTCTAAGGCTGTGGAGTCCGAGACTTCTGCAAAGAGAGCTGAGGAGTCTGCTGGAGAGATTTTCCTCACGGAGGCACAATGATGAGTAAGCAGGAGAACGCAGCATGGGATACCATTACCCGAACATCCCTGACCAGCCAGGGTTCTCTACTGGAGAGGGCAGATATCACGACTGGAATTCAGGTGCCTTCGTAAAGACCTGCTGGATGTATGTTCACTGTTCAGACAAGTCCTCCAATTTACCTAAATTTACATTAGCTGCATTTCTTTGGCTGGATCTATACATCTATACGTGGGCTCTGAATCAATGGTTTTTCAGTCCATTCGCTTGTAAGACTTTCTTACTGATTTCTGGTCAATGTGATTTTGTGAGGGCAAGCAGGGGCTAGATGAGGAAAATGTCAGGAGCAGCCAGGATGCTGGATTCTGTCCTCACTCCGACACTGGGTGTCTGGGCTGTGTCACCTCACTTGGCTGGGCCTCCACTTCCTCTTCTGCAGTGTGGGTATAGAAAAGTATCTCAAGGAGCTGATGTGAGAAACTGATGTGAGAGAAGCGACTCCAGACAAGTCTGAATGAAGGAAGAAGAGACCACGATCTAGTGGGAAAGTCATTTTTCCATGTTTCCTTTTTGGCACAATGAGGCCATTAGATGAAATGGCTGCTAAGGATACTCTCCAGTTCTGATATTCATTCTGGGACAGGGAAGTGATTGCTATGGTCTAAATGTTTGTGTCTCCTCAAAATTCATATGTTGGAAACTAATACTCGACTTGATAGTATTAAGAGGTGGGGCCTTTGGGAAGTGATTAAGTCACAAGGGCTCCACCCTCAAAAATGGAATTAGTGCCCTTATAAAAAGAGGCTCGAGCAAGCTCCCCTGTGCTGTCTGCCATGTAAGGACACAGAAGAAGCCATCTTTGAGGATCAAGCCTTCACCATAGACAGAATCTTTCCAGCCTCCAGAACTCTGAGCAATGAATTTATGTTGTGATACTCACCCAGTCGAAGGTATTTTGTTACAGCA